GGCAAATACATTTTCAGGGTGGCCAGAAACATTCCCCACCAGAACTGTCAAGGTGACCAGAGTAAATAATACTGGTTTTGGAGTTCCAGTCACAATATTACATGTAGCTGGAACTCAGAGCAAGGAGCTAAGTGAACCAATACATAACATTCAGCCTGGGAATTAAGTCTACCTTAAGTCTCTTACAGAAAAGACTTTGGAACCACAGTGGGAAAACGCCATTCCAGATGCTTCTCACCACCCTCACCACAATCAAGATTAAGAAGCAGAATGCCTGGATCCACTACCCTCGAATGAAGCTGGCCCCAGAAGCCCCTTGGAAACTGACATCAAGAGACAATGAACTGAGACTAAAACTTATTCAGGCAAAATGAATGTATTGTGGCAGGGGGAGTAGTTTGTAATTTTATTTATAGAATTGCTTTGTGTAAAATTGTAATTGAAATCCTGGAATACCTCTATCCAAAACAATGCTCAGTGGCCTTGGTCCCAGGTTCTGGATCTATGAGAGAGCTGGCCACTGCAGCAGGTGGACTGGGAAACTTAAAACAACCCCTACAGTTATCCCTAAAAGGCCGGGGTCCAAGATCACAAGTTAATAGTAGAAGTGCTTGGTATGGTTCAAGATAAAGTGTCTTTAGCTTTCAGTTTTATACAAGCAGAGTTTTGGATACAGGCAACAGCAGCTTTGATCATACGGGAGAGGGTGGAAAAGCATCTGTGTTATGTGTAGTAGATATAATTTGCGCCATTTCTAATATGATATATGTGATATTGAATATTTGTTAGAGTATACATGTTTGTATTAGGATTCCCCCCCACCTTCGCAGGCGAGACTGGGTGTATTTTGGAAACTGATTTACAAGTAAGAAGGTACAGCTGGCCAGGAGATGGGCCATGTCTGGGGAGATACAGAAACCCCAGGTGCTGATTGTTCGCATGAAGGACCCGAGATGGATATCATGGAAATCCTCAGGCAGATACATGTGAATACAGCCTTCCCGAATACCCGTAAATTTCATCAAGGGACTCAACAAACTCCAGACACTGAATTGTTCTCCCTCATCACCAAAAAAAGAGAATCTTATTAACATATGGACTCTGAATAGAAGAAAAGACTGATTGCTAAAATCTTGGCCTCGGGCGGAATTTTCCCTATAAAAACCGCTTGTGCCAGGATGGAGGTGTGTGGGCATAGAGGAAAACCTCTGCTGAGGCTGTCTTCTCTGTTGCACACCCAGGGCCGACCCCAGGCTCGGCTCTGTTCTTTCCTTGTGGCTGGCTAGATAGAATCTGATTGCAAAATAAATACTTTATTTTTTCATATTAATTTGGCTGGACAAATTTTCATTTGTAACAATCTGTATCCTATAATCCTGCTTCTAATGTGGCCACTGCCTTGGTACTTACTGTACGCAATGCCACTGTTTATCTGCCAATTCAAGATTTATTCAGTCACTGATCAGAAAACTGTGCTTGTATATGCTGGTAAAGATTGTGTATGCTTGAGAACCTGTACTACTGTAATTGTGCCTAGCAAGTCAAATGTACATAGTAAAGCACTAGGGGGCACTTACTAATGTAAGGATTTACATTAAGTAAAAGAATTTACTTATCATCTTCAGGAAATGGGGGAATGATACAGAGTGAAAATTTAACAGGGTAGAAATCCATTTGGATTTAGGTAAAATGTGCCACTATAAGCTTGCAAAATATGCTGTTTAGTCTGGTGACTGCAGCCCTAGCAGAACCACCCCAGCTAAGGAGAAAGAATGCAAATTTCCACACTAAAAGATAAGAGGTAAGAAAGACTCCTTGGACTTTAAAACAGACGGGGCAGAGTGACCCAGGACTCCTTTCTGTACTTTCTAACAAAAACTGAGTACGAGTGTAACTAGCTGTAAGTGTAGTGTGAAATCAGCAGAATGAATATGCATTAACCTATTGTGAAATTCTATGCATATGGAAATTAGTAAGGGTAATAAAAAAGGATCGGGAGTTCTCAGAGGTACGCATGCACATGCGTCCACAGTGCTGTGAATAAACATACCCATTCCCTACAAATCTTTATTGGAATTGTGGGGTTTGATTTTCATCCGAGTTTCTCAGGACACATAAATCTAAGGAAATTCGACCTGAGGGGTGTATATTGGGTCATGAAGTAATAGGCCAAATTTGTATTTCTAGGGAAGGAAACAATTTTACTACATACGTATGACATACCCCCTGCAGGGTCATATATAGCACCAGCTCCACCTTTACCACCTGATGGCTGAAACGACCAACAGGTTATTGGTCTATCAATTGTACCAACTGAACTATTTGCTGGAAAAGTGTAAAACATGCTAATCCTTTTCAGGAGGTAAAAGATCTTAAGGGATATTGGGAAAATCCAGGGCAGACGGCTGAAAACTGGAAAGCTCCAGATGGATTATTTTGGATATGTGGTAAAAGGGCATATAATGAACTATAAAAGAGATGGAGAGGTACCCATACAATTGGAATTATCCAACCTGCATTGTTTTTGCTACTGAAGAGCAAAGGTGAATATTTAGGATGACCACTTTATGAAACTCTGTGCAGAAGAAAATTAACTGAAATAGGAGGAAAACAGACCTGGAATAATGAAGAATGGACTTCCCAACAGATCATAGATTACTATGATCCTGCCTCCTGGGCTCAGGATGGCAGCTGGGGTTATAGAACCCCTACTTATATGCTTAACCAAATTATTAGATTACAGGTTGTTGTAGAAATTACTTCTAATCAAACATCAGAGACATTGAGGCATGTAGCTAGACAACTAACCCAGACCAGAGAAGCAGTATATCAGGATAGGCTAGCCTTAGATTATTTATTAACTGAGGAAGGGGGGTTTTGTGGAAAATTTAATACATCTGTGTGCTGTTTAGAGATTTATGATAATGGAGAGACTATTACAAATTTGGCAGATGAAATTAAACGAGTTGCACATGTTCCAGTGCAGAAATGGAATTTCATATTAAATTACAATTGGTGGAATAATTTGTTTGAAGGAGCCTAGTGGAAAAAGTTGGGGTTCATGTTGCTTTGTTCTGCATTAGGCCTATTGTTTATACCATGTATGATTCCATGCTTTCTTAGGCTAATATAGTCAGTGATCCAGGGAATGCAGATTTAAGCAATGCCCATAAACCCTAAAATAACAACCATGGGAGAAAAAACTCACTCCCTTATGATAGTCAAGGCCAAAGCAGAACATGGGGATAAATACCTTCCAAGTTCGGAGCTGATGCTGTAATTCATACTCAGTGGAGTCACTGGGGCTGTGCACAATAATTACTTGCAAAACCAGATGAGAGGTAAATATTTATGCTAACTGAAAGTCAATTTTGGAGGCAATCTCAGTATACAAGAGAGTGTGGGGTGATGCCGTTTTGGTTTTTACCTTTTTTTCTATTATATATTGTCAGTATTCTTTACACATATATTTGTACCTTTGTAGCTTAACTTCATAATTTTCCTGGGCAGGAAGACAAAACAAATTCCAGGATCCATATGCTATCTTGCTTGTCCTTGGCAACCAAGGCCAAAAAACAGCTCTTTGGGACACATTTACATCAACAAGGTTCAGTCCCATCTAAGGGGGGAGGATTTAGAAGGGACTTTGTTGCAGTTCGAATTTATATTATTGATTCCTTGCTAAGCGGTTTGTTCTGTTTTATCCCCATATTCTCCCCGAGTTAGTTTACCCCTGGGTTTTACCCTCCTTCAAAGCTGTCCCTCATGCCATTCCCCACCCCTTGTTCCAGCTCTTTCCCTGCCTGTCAAGGCAACCCAGCCCCTTTTGTTCCCGAACCTTCCCTGCCACTTTCACATCGGGCCAATCCTTGACTGCAACACCCTTTTGGAATTCCCACGTTCCTCTGTGGATATGACAGCCTGGTCAGAGAGCAAGAAAACGAGATAAGTTTTCTGGCGGTGGACTTGTGGGACTTTCATGGAGTTGTAGAGAAGCAATGATAACTTGTTATTGTAAACAACCTGCAGGTGGTGTTTTTCTACTCTTTGTTTTTCTGTTCTTCACAAGGATTGTTTGTGAGAAAAGTGTTTTTGTTAATTAGCCAATCAGGTAGAATGTATTGGGACAGTCTATAAAGAGAAGAGTTTTTCGCATTAAAGTTGTGCAAACCAGCCTTCTTGGAGTCTGTGCTGCTTTCTTACTCAATAGTGACATTCTTCGAAGCCCCATTGGCCCATGTGACCCATCCTCTCCACCCTCCTACCCCCATTGGCCCCAGACATTTGATATAATCCCCTCACTCCTCCCCTGAGGATTCCTTGTTGGTTAGCTGTTTGTTTCACCCCCTGATTTGTATCTGTACAAAACCCCTTGCACAGGAGTGCCTGGGCTCTTTGTTTCTGATCTCTTTACTTGGAATAAACCCTTCCTTGTGGAATCTCAAGACAGAGAGCCTCCTCCTTTCTCCTCTGCCTGGTCCCTGTCATGGCTTGTGTCTAGCACCGTAGAGCAAGTGGCTCTAAAGGTTCTGCATCTGGTAAATCCCCATACTGAGGCAGTTCCCCACTCCTGGTGCAGCGCCGGAGTTCTAAGAACTAGCCCAGGCTCCAGCAGTCACTTCAGGGCTTGGACTCGGAGGGGGAATTGCATCGCCACTTGTGCTCCTAATTGGTGCTTTTTTGTCAATTATGCTAATTTACCAAACTTATAAAACTGTATGCACCCCCGTGGGGGGTGGGCTTTAGTGGACATTTTTCTATAACTGCCCCTGGAGGCCTTCAATAAAGAGTCACTTTTATATAACCTCCAATATTAATATTATCTCGAAAGTGTGTATTGTTTCATTTCTAGGTTGAAAAGTATTCATGTGTGCATGGGTATATCAAGGGGCAGAGGTAAGCCTGTGGGATCCAACACAGGCTGCTGAGATGAAGGAACCAGTGATTCAGTGGTCACAATGTGTTGGTGAGAGTGTCGCGGGAAAATGAGTCTCATGATATCATGGTCAACAAGTTTTCGGTTTATTGGAGTCGATTACAGTTTCTTTATACAAGCACTAACTAGTTCATACATATTGCAAAAGCGAAGCTCAGGATTGGTTACCTTTCTATTAACACATATATCTCTTTGCGATAAGCCTTGCGGTTACTGCTTCTTTATACTTGATTACTTTTCTGCATACCAAGCAATATTTCATTTTTATCGAGACATCTGTATACTCAAGGTTGTTAGGAGATGTCTGGCTCCCAAGGTTGATAGAAAACATCTGTTTCTCAAGGGCACAGTTTTCATGCTACAAGTCACGTATTCTCACACTCTCATCAACTTAACCCTTTCGTGTCCCTTGCTGCGCAGCCATTCTTCAGCTAAACTCTCAACAACAATGGGCAAAAATCCTCTCCCTGAATGCTCTAAAGAGCATTGGAAATGTTGCTGTTGGTGACTGGGATTGAGAGCTGCGATGATGCAATGACTGGGGAGGAGCTGCAACGAACAGCAACAGGGACCAGAAGCCTCATCTCATACCTACAGCCATCACCTGTCACACTTGTATTAGGGACGGCTGAATGAGGTGACATAGACTCCAGTCTCAGAAGGCAAATGCCAAGTTTATTAGACATCACATTCTTTTTTATAGACTGTTCCAAGAAAGCTGGACCTGACTGGTCCTCAATCAACACCCCTCACATCTTTGGCTAATTAGGAACAACACCCTTCTTGTAAACATCTTACAAGTAAATAGCAAGTTCAAAACACCAGCTGCAAAGATTAAGGATTATTTTAATTCTTTCTCTGAGCTTTTTCAAGCTCCCTCAGAACAATGCCTGGGAAAGTTTATCTGACTTTCTCTCTGACAAGACTGTCAGCATCCACAGTCACCTGCATCCCCACCATTTGCATGCAGGAGGTGATCTCCAAATATAACAGGTCAGCTTGACTCTTGGGGGACTTTCCTTGGAAATTAGGAGCCAAATGCCCACCTGCAGAAGTCCTGGTCACCTGGTTGAAACAAGGCTCAGACCCAGCTTTCAGCACATTTTCTTGCATGGGAGTTGTTAAATACCAGGGATGTGAAGTTTGAGGAGTGCTTGGCAATGATGCTGGCAAACGTGCCCAGCTAGACAGCAGGTCAGGTTGTTATAAATGAAAATTGATCCAGCCAAATTAAAAATAAAATAATTTTATTTTTCAATCAGATTCTATCTAGCCAGCCACAAGGAAAGAACAGTGCCGAGCCCGGGGTCGGCGCTGGGTGTGCAACAGAGAAGACAGCCTCAGCAGAGGTTTTCCTCTATGCCCACACACCTCCATCCTGGCACAAGCGGTTTTTATAGGGAAAATTCTGCCTGAGGCCAGGATTTTGGCAATCAGTCCTTTCTTTTATTCAGAGTCCCATAGTTTGATGAGATTTCTTTTCTTGGCAACGAGGTAGAACAATCCGATGTCCAATGTCCGGAGTTGGTGAATCCCTTGATGAAATTTAGGAGAACCCTGCATTCACATGTATCTGTCCAGAGGACTTCCATGATATCCATCTTGGGTCGTTCACTCGATGATCAGCACTTGGCCATCCCCTTATCGCTTCAGATATGGCCCATTTCCAGACGAGCCACATCCTTTTACTTGTAAATCGGGTTTCAAGGTACACCAGGTTTCGTCTGCAAGGGTGGGGGGGGGCTCCTAATACAAACGTGTATACTCCAACAAATATTCAATATCACATATATCATACTAGAAATTGTGCGAATTATATCTACTACACATAACAAGGTGACACATGGGGTGACGCCAGACTTTTTGTGAAAAGAAATTGTACCTGTCCCCAAGCAGGAGCTCACCACCAGGATTTCCCAGGCAGAGATGCTGTGCTTTGGCAGTGTGTGGAAATGAGCTCTACAGGATGAAATCTGGCAGCTGCAGGAGCCAGCAGATACAGTATTCCTCTGCTTTCCATAGAAGAGGTAAGGCTAAGAGCCTGCCCTGCTCCATTGCAAGCCAGATGCAGCAAAGTCCTGCAAGGCAGACAAAAAATTGGTTGCAAACATCATCTGAACACCCAGCTTGGGTTTTTTCCCCTCCAACACCCAACCTGCTTTTGTTTCCCACGAGCATAGCCCACAGACATGAGTCCATCAGTCTCTCCGCCGCGGCCAGCTGGGGAACGATCCTTTCCCGGACAGCCGCCGTTGGTTCCTTCCACCCCCGCTCCGCGGGAGGAGCCGGCATTGCCCACCGAACACTCGGAGCAGCTCTCTCCTGTCTTCCCGGCGCATGCACAGGAGGGACCGAAGCCTTCAGCGGCTCCACTTCCACAGTCAGCAATTGCTCCGACAGGGGTTGCGTTCGCTCCTGCCCCTTTGCCAGCGCCAGAGGGACCATCGCCTCCGCCTCCGCCTCCTCCTCCTCCTCCTCCTCCTCCACCCCGTGTGGCGTGTGTGCCTCCGCCGCTGACAAGAGAGGCAGCCGGTTCCGCGACAGCTGCCGGCAGTCCCGCGCTGAAAAGCACATCCAGCCCCCTGCACCGCAGCCTGAAGCCAGTTCATCGGCAGTGGCGCCCGCAGCGCCGGTCGGGGATGCTCCCCCGCTGGCTCCGCCCCCTCCAGCCGGCCCGGCTCCCATCCGCGACGCGAGCTGTGGCGCTGAGGAAGATTCCCAGCCCGCCTCGCTGCTCCCGGCTGCCCCGCCTCCTGCTGTTTCCCTCGGGGTGCCCGGGAACGCGGACTGCAGCAGTGAGCATCAACAGCCTGTCCCTCAACAGGGGCGTGCCCTCGTAGCTGGGCGCCGGCCCGGCCAGCGCGTCCGTACCGCGAAATCTGAAGATCAACATTCCTCTGGGGACAACACCTTCCCTGCCGTGCTTTGGAGCACCCCATGCATTCTGCTCCCATTCGCAGGGCGGGAGGAGCGGGATCCCGAGAGGCTGTGGCTTGGTCCCTGCCCGGGAGGGGCGGAGGAAGGGCGAAATGACAGAGGAATTGCCGAGACATTGGCAGCGTGGTGGGGGTGGGCAGTCAAGGAGAAGGCAAAAGTGAATCGCCCATCTGGGGATGGGCATGGGCTGTCCCAGGAACCCCAGATCCAGAGGCCCCAGATGACACCAGTAAAAAGCTGGGGGAAGGGAACAAGCCGAATGAATCTGAGCTCAGCAGCGGAGCTGGATGCCCCGCCCCGCCCCGCCAGCCGGGTCTGAGTCCCTTGGCCCGCCCGCCGCTGCTGGGTCCTAAGACCCGCTGCTGCTGCTGGCCTTTTTGAAAAGAAAAAAAAAAAAAAAAAAAAAAAAAAAAAAAGTGGAAAAAGCTACCGTTTTCACTGCCAGTTCAAAGTACTGGAAAGCCACGAGCCAGCCTCGGTCCAAGTGGTTTAATTAAAGGCTGTGGCCATGGCATTCCAGAGATTTTCTCAATAGTGCCTGATAATTATGTCATATCTAATGGATTTCTAATAGTTGTTAGTAACCTTCTTCAGCAGTTCTCTGTTTCAGGACCAAGAAGGACATTCAGTAATGTCAAAGATCAACATCTCCAGTTAATGGACCTTCTCCTGAAACTCAGCTGTTTGGACTTTGAAACAATGATCACTCTTTGCATTGTTGTTTGGTTTTCTGATATTGTAAAGCTTGTTTTAATGATATGAGAGAAGTAGATATTCTACAGGTAAAGAATCCCCCTGACCATTCTAAATCAGCTTCTGAATGAGGTTTTGATTGGCAACGGGTAAACCTCTTGAACTGTGTTCTCCCTTCTGCAAAGGGCCCTGAAGAAGACTTGCAAAGGCAGCTCTTCTTTTTTTACAGTAAACAGGGTGAAATGTGGTAATCACATATCCTCTGAATAGAGAGACATAGCTTTCCCAGGATTTTCCTGGGAAGCTGTGAGAAAGCTCAAAGAATGAGAAATAATTATCTTCACTTGTTGCACCTGTTGTTGTGCACATGTGGAATGTGTTATGGAGATTTGTTTACCTAAGGGTGATTTCTTAATTGGACACTGGTGATGGTGTTTGCATTTTCAAGGACTGCATCAGACTGTCTGTAAGGGTGAAGTGTGCTTCTTTGTAGTGTAGTATAGTATAGCATAGTACAATAAAGTATGATAGTCTGGCTATTAAAATTATTGCATAATTCCTCAGCCCGAATTAATGTGCAAACGAGACCATATGCCAGTGACAATAGGAGGGATTTTATTTGATAGCAAATATGAGGGAAAGAAAAAAGGAGAGAAAGAAATAGGGAAGGAAGAGCTTGGGGAATGGGGGGGGGGGGGGAATGCGGTGAAGACAGACTAGGTAGAAAGTATCACCATTCCATGGATCCCAATGGCATTCCATTGATCCTCTTCTAGTCTTCTTGGTGGTGAAGGTCCCCCCAAAAAGCATAGAATCTGATGGATTAATATACCAAGTTAATAGGTCAGGTAGGAAAATCCAGGCACCTCCCTGGAAGGGCAGAGTTTGCTATTGCCTGTTACAACAGACTCTGGGTTTGTTGCATCATGTGCAGTCCTGTGGAGCAAGTCTTCAGGAATGACAGATTTTAGGCAGCAGCAACCACTACTCCAACACCCACATTTTTACCTGGGGGGCACTTTGGGGGGCCTTTGATGCATTAAGGCACCCCCTTGAAATGAACATGTCTTATGCCTTTATTAATAGTCAGCTCTTTATTAAAAGGTCAGCTGGGCAGGGGGCCCGACACGGAGCTCGCCCCCGCTGTTGTAGCTTTTCCTGGTAGCCGAAGGGTGAGGAGGTGTGCAGAGTCTGTTGCTGAAGTCCCAGCAGCAGCTGTCCCCTCTCCTTTCCTTGTGGTAACACCAGGACAATCTTGCTTTTTTGTTCCTGTTTTCCACAGCCCACTATAGTCTAGTCTTCCATAGGTTATGGTGACAGGTCAAACATCAATCGGGGGATGTGTTTTCCTCTTCCTCAGTGTTATAAATGAAAATTGGTCCAGCCAAATTAAAATGAAAAATAAAGTTTTAGTTTTAGCAATCTAATTCTATCTGAGCCAGCCACAAGGAAAAGGACAGTGCTGAGCCCAGGATCGGCACTGGGTGTGTCACAAAGTAGACAGCCTCAGCAGAGGGTCCCTCTATGCCCACACACCACCCTCTTGGACCCAGCAGTTCTTATAGGAAAAATTCCGCCCGAGGTCAGGATTTTGGCAATCCGCCTTTTCTTTCCATTCAAAGTCCCACATATTCATAAAGTTTCTTTTCTCCGGGTTGAGGTTGAACAATCCGAGTCCAGGTGTGGACGATTTTCCTTGATGGAATTACTGGAACCATGGCTTTCAGATGTATCAGCCCTGAGGACTCCAGCAATCCTAATCTCAGGTAGTTACCAGAATGATCAATGCATAGGCATTCCGGTATGACCTTGTGGAACAACCCATCTCACAGGTGAGCCACATGTATTAAATTGTAAATGAGGCTTTGTCCGAGAAACCAGTTTTTGGTGTAACAAATATGTGGGGGTAGCTCTCAGTGCTGGCGTGTGTGCTTTGCAATAACAAAATATTACACATATAAAATTATACTTTCCTAAATCAAATACAACAGTATTACGTCAGCGCAAATTATAGTCAACATACATATCACTCAGCCAGCATATTGTTCCTCTCCAGCCCCCTCAGCTGTGTTTAGTTCTCCATTTAGGGGTGTCCTTCTCCTCCAAAACACGCTCCCATGGTTCCATGGGTTTCCCTATTTGCATCTTAGTCCTAGAATGGCAGTGTGGGTGGGGAGTAAGTGATCAACAGGTGGTTTTGAGAAAGCAAACAGAGCAATTAGCTAATTAACATTTCAATATTGGTACTTAACTAGAACCAGCAACTGTTCCAGTGTTGCCATGGGAACCAGGAAGGCCCTGTCCGCCCAGAAACCCCAGGGGCACTGAGAACTTTGTTCATTACACCCTCCGCTGCCCCTCATGTGAATGTCCTGTGGATGTGGCCTTCCCAGGATTGGGGGTTCCATGGCCAGTTTGTGTAAGGGAAAATGGGTTCACTGTGAAATGAACAGGGTCTATGCCTTTATTAATAGTCAGCTCTTTATTAAAAAGTCAGCTCGGCAGGGGGCTCAACAAGGAGCTCGCCCCCGCTGTTGTAGCTTCTCCCATAGCCAAAGGGTGAGCAGGCGTGCAGAGTCTGTCCCTGGAGTCTCCGTGGCACGCTGGTAGCTGGAGGTGAAGAGGTGTGCAGTCCATATCTGAAGTCCCAGCAGACCGTCCTCTTTCCTTCCCTCCCGTCCTCTTTCCTTCCCTCCCGGCACACTGGTGGCCGCAGGGTGAGAGGATGTGCAGAGCCTACTGCCGAAGTCCAGCAGCAGCTGTCCCTCTCCTTCCCTCCTGGTAACACCAGGAAGTGTGTGAGTGCTTTGCTCCTGCTTCCCACAGCCCAGTCCAGTCTGGTCCTCTGTAGGTTATGGTGACAGGTCAAACACAGACTAGGGATGGGGTTCCCTTTTCCCCAACCAGCACACCCATCCAGCCCCCTCCACTGTGCCCATCTTTTCCATTTAGGGGTGTTTTTCATCCCCAAAACCCCCTCCCATGATTCCACTGGATTATTTTGCATCCCAGTCCTAGAATGGTAGTGAGGGTGGGGGGAGATAGGTGATTCCCAGGAACAATTAGCTAATTAACATTTCAATGTCAGTACTTAGCCCAAGCCAAGTGTCCCAGCCAGGCTGTTTTGTTCATAACAAATCCCTCCTCTATTTCTTTGATTGGGCTTAAGCCGGCATCAATTTACAGTCTCTGGCTTTTGAGGGTTAGCTTCTTTGGGTAATTCTCTTAATTTTGTATATCAGCTTTTAGCAAGTCTTTTTTAAAGTTACCTTTAAGCCTTTTGGTTCCTTAATACCTGTCTAGGCACAGGAGGAGGTGGGTTGGGTGACCCTCTAAAGGGCACTTATTAAACAGTTACAAAGTACTTAAACTTTGACAACGGTACTTTAACTCAGAAGCGGTTATTACCACCTTACTGTATATCAGCTTCTAGCAATACCGTTTATGCACAAGAGGAGGTGGGTGACCCTGTTGGGTCTGGTCTGGCTTCTGGGGATGGTCCTGGTCCTTTTACTCTGGGGATATGGATCCAGCCTTTTTCTTGGGTTCACATCGCAGTGTGTGTGGTGAGTAAAACCTGGAAAGGTCCTTCAAATTTTGGGGTTAGTGGAGTGGTGGTGTTCCAGGATTTTATTAATGCCCAGTCCCTGGGACTGATGTTGTGGGCATTGGTATCCAGAGGGGAGGTTTGGGGAAGATAGCCCTTCTTTCTGAGGCCTTCTAGGGATTTTCTTATGATTTTAAATATTTTTAAGTTACTGCCTCCCCTTTTAAATAATCTGCAGTACTGAAAGGGGTGGTTAGAAAAGGGAGTCTGAACATCATTTTATAAGGAGAAACCCCTATGTCGGACCAAGGTCGAGGTCTGATGCGCAAGAGAGCAAGAGGTAAACACTTGAGCTAATTCATTTTTTTGTCTCTTTAATTAATTTGGTTATTACTTTTTTAAGAGTTTTATTCATTCTTTCTACCTTTCCCGAGCTTTGAGGATGCCATGGGGTGTGCAATCTCTACTTTATCTCCAGGGCTTTTGTTACTTGATGCAAAGTTTGAGCAACAAAATGTTGACCTCGGTCCGAGTCAAAGTTATTGACTAGCCCGTATCGAGGTATGATTTTTTCTAAGATTATTGTTGCAACTTCTTGCACAGTTTCCTTTTTGGCTGAGAAAGCCTCCACCCAGTGAGTGAGATGATCTACCATCACTGGTAAATGCTTGTACCTCTGCACAGAGGGCATTTCAGTGAAATCTACCTGTATGTTCTGGAAAGGTCTTAAAGCAAGTTTTCTTCCCCCATGTGCTTGTTTTCTCATTACCTTTTGGTCAGTTTTCAGGCAAATCGCACACCTTCTTGTGACTGCTTTTGCCAGGTCATACGCTCCAATATATAAATTCTCCCGTAAAAAAAAAAGTGGTTGCACAAAATTTGGATTCCCCAGTGGGTCAATTCATGACTTGAACTACCTTTTATCTCGTGGGATGCTCCTTACCCTTCATAGGACTTGCAAGTCTCTTCTTAAG